ATGTGGTAAATTATTTGTGATTATGATGTTGCTCACCAAATTATTGGGGCTGCACAATCAAAGTACATATTGAAACAGTCCCATCTTACAATAAGCCAAACCTCAGCTCTAACGGAAAATAATTTCCCATCGAAATAGCCATATATTGTAGCACAATTCTTCTTGAGATTTTCCAACAGTTCAAAAATATTTATTTTTTTCAATATGTCAATCGACATAGTATACTATTATTTTTAGGGATCTTTATAAACCAAAAAATGGCATAATGTCCTAGAATTCCCCAATATATAGCTTGCACCTCTGTACCCGTTTTATTAGATGACGAGAAACAACATCAATGTAGTTCACAACTGGAAGAACAATCGACTAGACTTTTTTTTGAAAATTACATTTCCAAACTAATAAAGCATCTCTTTCGTTATATCTACGTTTGTTTTTGTTTGTTTACAAATAATCCCTAGCTTCATATCCGCTATAGCATTGACACTAGTAGATACCACCATCAGCACTCAGTAGTGGCTCTTCAGCTTACATTTGGATAATTCAAAAAAAGGTAAACGCAGTTCATTTTGCTTTAAACATTTTCATTTGATACCCCGCTACATGTAATTCTGTTTCCTTTAGAAACACTTCAAATGTAAAGAAATCGAATAACTGTTATATTTTTAAGAGATTTCAGGTGTTAATTAAGTAAAGAACCACACATCACTGTAACTCAACGAACTGCTGGGGCATATCGACTAAGTGGAAACCACAAAAACAAACCCCAACACATTCAAATCAATTCATGCGCATGCGTTCATTTGGTAAGCATTGACTGGAATTCATTTTGAACATTATTTTCTAAACGACTTTTCACACTCTCTTTTTACACATTTCGCATTTTCACCAAGATGTAACCACAACAACAACAATAACAATGTATGGATCTTGTGTATCTCTGTATCTTACGCTCTTTTCTATTTTCAGGGTAGCACACAAGTAAGCTATACCAAGCCATTCAATAGAGTTGTGACTTCAAATCTAAGGTGATTCTTGTCCTTCAGCATCCATGTGATAACCATCACAGTCGTTTTTATTGCAATTCATAGCCATTGTATTCTAGTATTAATTCAAGTATTTGTTTTTGTGTTTTGTTTTGAATTACGAGTACATCAATCTAACGTCAGACACAGCTTATGATATGTTTTAAGCAGCTTTTTTACGTTGATGCTTCAAACCGCTGCCGTGGATCAACTTCAACAAAAAAAATAATTATTTTATCCCTCTTCCCTCCTTTCAGATATTATCGCTGATATCAAAGCAAGCAAGTGCATCCGGCATGATGGACAAACAGAAACTAGACAAAATGGTGGAACCGTTTTCATCACTCACTCACTATGTTTAAGCGTGTATGTGTGTATGTGTCTATCTCTCAACCACTGTTTCATACCTTTTGGGTGCTAAAATTCTAAAAAAAAAACAAACAAAACAAACCTTTCTAGAATGTTTAATGTAATTTGTAATCTACTGATATCGTTTTATGGAGTTTTTGTATAAACAAATTTTTATGTTAATCTTTTACTAATGTTAATGGAAAGAAGAAGAAGAAGCAGTAGAAGTATTTGTTATTAGCTTTAAGTGGAAACAATGTTAAGGAAATCAAAAATGCGAAACAATCAATGGTTACTCGCATGAATTGAACAACAACAACAACAACCGTAGCACTAACATGAATTTTTTGTAAAAATTACAAATCTTGACACAAGTTTAGGTTAGGCTAAGTCTTACTTTTTAACCAATTGCAAAAATATTGAATAACAAATATAATAATAATTGATATATTAGTTACATAATGTGTTTTATTTGAATCAAAAAAAAATCTTTACAGAATTCAGGATAATCTCAATATAACGTTCGAAGATGGGACTTCATATGATACCTCCCACATAATGCAATATTCCATACTCTATGAATATAACAGTTATGTGTCAAGACGTCGACTTTTCAAGTGATCTATTATTTGTGTGGCTGATGAGGGTATATACACTTTGCTACGCAAAATGTACCTCAACGAAGTATGTGTTTTTTTACCAATTCATTCTCAGACCATTTAGGGTCGATTTACAAATATCCGTACGTCTGTCTGGCCGGCTCACTATAATTCGAGAGTAACCGATTTCATAAAAAAAATGTGGACATCGTAATATTTCTTCCAAACTTTAATAAAGTTTGAAGATGAGGAATATCGGGCCACTCATTCTGGTGGGTCCCTTTTAAGTTGATATATTTAAGGTAATTATGTTGCGAGCAATGTTTTGATAAAATTGGATATTCCGTTAGCTTCATATGAGATTTAAGATCATTATACAGCTGTGGTAAAAATCGGAAAGTACGTTCGCAATATTGTACAAAACTATTTTTCAGGAAAAATGTTTGCCATTTTGTGTGGGAGGTACCAGAAGAAGTGGTCCGATATTTCTCATATTGGAATATGATTAAAGTTTGGAAGAAGTATTTCGATGTGCAAAGTTTGATGTTTGAAAGTGGTGCACAGGATAGCTCTCGATGATAGGACTTAACTTCTTCTACTCTTTGTTTTTATTAAAAAGTTTTCCATCTGAGGGGAGGTACATGAATAGGTTGCCCTTTAGTCTCTATTTTTATGCCCTACACAACTATGTTGTCAGGGTATTATAGCTTTGTGCAGCCCCAAAAGTTTGTAACGCCGCGAAATATTGGTCCTAGACCCACCTTTAAGTATACTGATCGTCATATCTCGACTAGCTGAGTCGATCTAGACATGTGTGTCCGTCCGTCCGTCTGTCCATTATAATTTGTAAACACGATACAGGCCACAGTTATGGACCAATCTGGCCAATGAAGACCCCTATTGTTTTTGGGAAAGATCGGTTAATATTTAGGGGATGAAATGGACCAAATACTAAATTTTTGTCGGTTTTTCTGGTCGCTCCAGAGGCCGCAATAATGGCCCGAAAATCGTGAAATTTTGCATGGAGAAGCGGATCGGGCCAAAGAATAAGCATGCCTGTTTGGATAAAGATCGGTCAATATTTAACGGGTCAAATGGACCCTGACTTTTGTGTGAAAAATTACAAAATTTTTATTTTATGGCGTATATATTTACCCCTGAAGAACATTTACCCGAGAAGTTGATATTATATCCAAGAGGAGTGGTTGACCTTTAAATTAAGACCAATTATATTGTTGTATGTGATCGGATGTGGGAGTTACACCTAAATATTTACAGGTATCTCCGTATTCGTATATTATTTAGTAACCCATTACCACTCTGGAGAGCGGAACTATAGCGCTGATCGCTTTGAAATGTTCCATGTGGTTCCAGTTATGGTCAAGGACAACGCCTATAATTTTCGGTGATGATCAGATAAAAATTTTGGAATGAAGTGGACCGTAAACTTAATTTTTTGTGTTTGTTTTTCAAGTCGATCTACAGGCCACAATTGAAAGCTCAACATCACAACATAACACACGGTAAAGAGAATCTGGAATCTAGAGGGTGCAAATATCGCGAAATATTGCCCAAGCTCTGAATACAGAACAATAGAAAGTTAGATTTTCGTCGAAGTTGTGTAGGGTATCTTATGGTCGGCCCCGTCCGACTATACTGCTCCGCTCACTGGTTTGATTTACTGTAGGTTTGGAAATTATAACGATTGGCAAAATTTGAATTAAAAGATACATTTTGATACTGGATTAAACATTTTTCAAAATTCATCTTTATCTATGTAAGGTACGCGGACCTACGACAAATTATTTCATTGATATTTGTATACACATTGAAATCTCTCTGCGCCAAATTACAGTCAATTTCATTGTCAAATGTTGGTAATAGATGAATAAATTAAATCGGAATGTACGGTTATATATCAAAACATGGACCATGATCTCTTGCCAATTTTCCATACCAATAGTTATTTTGATATAAACAATATATTGCTGCCTACGTCAAGTGGTTTGGCAGTAAAACAGTTTTTACTATAGGAAAAACTGTTTTTACTCGTGACTTCTCGGATATTTACCCACGTGTTTAAAACATTATAAAAATTATCCTTTTTGAATCGAGTTGATAAGAGAAACCCCGAAATAGGTATTTCCCCTTTCCTATCGACATCAATTGTCATCATTGACTTTGAAACACAAATGTACTATAGCGACATCTACAAGTTACCAATGTAATTATATCGGGTTTGTGTCCACGATAATCAACCTTTGCACCACATAGCATCCACATCCAGCCTAATCTATTACAATTACAAGAGCTAAGACAAAGACATAAAAGTATAAATATACGACAATCGCTACGTAAACAATTTCCAACAGATGGCTTTTCCTCTGTTGTTATGATACCAAAACAACAGAGCGAACAATATTGAACGTTTTTAGTGCTATCTATACCTTAAGCTTATTAAATAAAAAATATATTTTGAGTACAGATCTCTGACTTTATTTACATTTTATACACACATTATGGAGTATTGGCGGTTTTATTCTTAACATGCCTCTGTTATGCCTGATTCCCCCTTCACATTTGTTCATAAACTATTTTGTCAAAATGCATTTTGTCCAGTCTTTACGGTTTCTATGTCTCTGGGCCAGCGCAGCCAATCGAAAAGTGGTTTACTGATTTCATAACAGAGGTAACTATCCACGGTTTGAAATGTTCCTGGCCGTAAAAGGATATTGAAACATTTTTAATTTTGAGTATTATATTTATATGTACTTTATATAATCGAGTCAGTGCCTTATGTGCAATACAACGTCAAAATGTTATTAACAGACAAACTATTTTATAATAATAAATTTATTCGCTTATAAATATTCGTGCTGATTATTGCGTCATCGATTTGTATTCTCCTTAATTTGCTAATGAAATGTTTATTGTTTATAATTTATTTTAATTACTGTTTGTGATTTTAATGAATAGCATTAACTCGTGATCATGTTATTCCTATTTTTCAAGATTGAATACATTGTTATTAATAATATATAATAAATATTCTAAATCGCCTTAGGATGCGTTTACAATTTTCCAAGACGAATGCCAAAAGCGACAAGGTGTAGCCACCACCCAGCACATACCATCCAAATTGAAAATGTTCCAACAACAATGGCCGAGCTACCTGGAAGTCGGACTTGCTGAGCGTGAGCATACCCGTACAATATCCATCGTCAATTGAATCCCTTGCCCATTTTTCAATTAAACCAGCGGCTGCACATCGCATTAGGAAGCGATTCAAAGGCAGTTCAAATTGAGAATGTGGCGGCATAACAAATCCAAATGGAACGGTATTGATGCACTCTTCCACCACGTGTTTAGTCGGTTTCAACAGATGTTTTTCTTGATTCAATACGAATTGAATGCGATCGATCAAAGCCGAAAACGTCAGCGATGGCTTCAGTTCCAATATTTCGGGCAGCAAATCTGTGGCTGACCGAGGTTTCAATATATCGGTGAATCCTTTGGGTAGACCGCGATTTTCCAAAATACTTGGTATGTCATAGTCGATGGTGTCAATGGCCAAGTTTCTTTTCACCAACTCGTCTAATGTGGAAATTTGTGAGCGAAATGTCAAACCAGAAAAGAAGCTGGTCAATGAAGCCAGATATAAATTCGAGAGAATGAATGCCAAGGGAATAACTTGCACAAACCACGAGAGGTGGTACCAGCGAACACTTTTGCTGCAGCAATTGCCAGGAACGGGAAGAAATGTCAGTATTCGAAATACTTCTAAAAATGTCCGGCCCACATCGAGGTGATTGCAGTGACAACGTCTATGTGTGCTAGTCCAATTCAGGAGACGTGTTAAGCTCAACCACACCCAGGATCCCAAGAAACACAGCCAGACATCCATATCAAAGGGCATAATGAAGTATTTGTATTTCTCCAACTCCTTTGCTGATGGCACAACAATACATCGGCGCAGCATACGAATTGGGTAACTGAGTTGAATACCTTTGTGCGGCACATATGGGTTAACAGACAACTCAACATCGCCCTGGTTGATTTGTTGCAGGATTTCCACTATGTCTAACGTTTTGTTGGGAACGTAATATCGCAAATACAAACTGGCATTGTATTCTTTGAGAAAAGCTCGGAAGATGTTGGCCACATATCCCGAAAGCGGTTGCCGCTTCCTTCCCTTGCATTCGATCCTTTCGAAAACCCTTGGCGGATCATATTGGGCCGTTGCTTTGATTTGATAACCATGAAGATTGCGAAATTTATCGGGAAAGAGGTTGATGGTTGTTGAATTGGTACTATCAAAAATGTGCCGTTCCAGGAATGGATTATAATTGAATATCTGAAATCGTTGTTCTGTCGGTAACTCGTGATCAACAAGGATGAGTGTGTTTATTAGACCTCGTTGCCAACACCATTCAAAATGTTCGCCAATATTTAATTGAGAGCGCTTACCATTCGGCGGAGTTGTGATAAATACTCCACGCACTCGGCTTTGCATTTCCGACAGGGCATTGTTCATGTGATTCCAAAATGATCGACGACGTAAATTTCCAATGGCCACGAAGAAGAGATTGTTATTAACACCAGCATCGTTCTTCAAATGCACTTCGCCGGTGTGCTCGGTAATCACAATTTTCGGCGTAGTCCATATTTCTGCGGCACGAATATAAGTTTCCACATCGAACGGGCTGCCGAAATAAACCAAAGTCTGTATATCGTGATTAAAGTGGGCTCCAGATATTATATAATTTAATTCTCGCAAATGCCACGATGTGAAAGTAAAATTTAAAAATAGATCCAATGCCATTGCGATTAGCCGACATACTAATCACCCAGTCATGTACGATACTCCGCAAATGCATTTGCAATTTTTTGGGTTGAACTGCTACAGATGCAAACGGGTATTAGGGGGCATTTCAAAGCGAAAGTAACTGGTGGCGAAACTGTTTTTTTACTTTAAATTGTGAAGAAAAAAGGTAACATGATTTTATTTTGATTTTACTGATAGAAGGGATCAAAGGAATAAAAAATGTGGCAGTAATCTTGTATGCATTTAGATCTTCTAAAACAATATATAAAGGAACTTTTTATAACGGAAATCTTTTATGAGAAACACGTAATCCTTTGAAAATTTTTATACTCTGTAGTATATATAGTATGTAGTATTTTCAAATGCAGAAGTTCGAAGTAACACCAATTATATTATTTTTTGATATTTATTTGTATATATCAGAATTGTATGCTACACATAACACAGTTTGAGCCAACCAATTTAAATTTTAGTACAAATTAAAATAACTGCACAACAAAAGCATATATAGAAATTACAAAATTCTTTTAAAAACCACACATTCATGATTTTTGGTACATAGATTAAGGAAAATATGCTCATTGGGAAATTAATTGTTACACGAAAGAACTTACAATATATAACATCGAGCAAAAAAGTAGGAAATATTGGAGTTAAAGCGAGGAGGTGGTCCTAATCCCAAAATTAATACGCGTACTGAACGCATTTGACTTGTAAATGTTGGTCCACTCGATGAAAAACGCCTACAATGTGTGACAGATGCAAAGGGCTGTCATACTAAATATTAAAACTATGAAAATGTGCGTTCAATAAAAATATTATTCTATAAACCTGCCATTGTAGTATATAATATTATATTTTTTATGTTTGAAAACTAAAATTGCTATTTTCTTGGCATTTTTATTGTTTTATTTATTTATTTCAAGAAAAAAATACAATTCATAATATGAAAGCCCACCAACGCGTTTCTTGGATGTGACTAAATTGCTAAATTTTAAAATCATATTTTCAAAAACAACGAGTAAAAGTAAAAAGAAAATAATTTAGGAAAAAATCTCTATATTAGAAGTATTTCGATATTATCTAAAATGTATATGTATACAATTATAGAGTAATCAAAAAGACCACTTTAATAAAGAAACATTTAGGTTTATTACTTACAAAATAAAAAAAAAATATTGATTCAATGTGTAAACTCATTCTTGACATACTGTAAATATAAAAGAGTTGCATTATAAATGACTGGCGTTCATAAACGTTCAGACGAAATGGATGAAAATACAATTTTAAAATGTTGCATGTGTATCAGTGTGATTGCGTAGGCTTGTGAAAAGGTCGAGGACGTTGAAAATTCCTACTAAAAAAATTAACACGTAGCTTTAAGAAAAAAATGGAAATTAGAACTAAAAAGTTCTGAATTATATATATGGCTAAGCATCTAGGAAATTTTGTAAGTATCTTTACGACAGAACTTTTTGAGATAAAATTTTAAAATTTGGTATGCAGCTTTATCTGCAATAAATAAAATGGTATTCACTAATATTTTCCGGAAATTAGTTCTAAATAGTACTAAATATGGTATACCGCAGAACGGGAAAATTACAAAATATATCACACATGAATATTCTTCGGCCGTTGGTGTAAAAAGAGACATCTGAGATTTACTAAATATTTCTAACTAGAACAAAAAGATATAAATCACATAGGGATAGAATATTGACTTTTACATTCACATATAAATGTTTTGTTTTTTATTTGTACAGAAACTATGAAGTTACTGAATACCGTACGTCCATCATCATTGCGGTATTGTGAAAAGAGATCAGAATTGTGTATTTGGTATAAAAACATGTTTGCCATTTCTGATAATGTGAACTACCATCTATATTGGACAATATGATTTTTATTATAATGGGAACGAGAATAATACTATAGACTCAATCATTGCCTTTCCGCGAGTTCGTTCTGATGGTGTCGATTTTGTAGAAAAGGTTTCGTACTAACGAATGTACCAAAATGTTATAAGGTGTCTTTAGTTCCTCACATACAGACAACGCCATTTTTTAATCAAACTAAAATATTTTGATATCTAATTTCTTACTCAAATATAAAGTCATCAACAAAAAAACAACATTTCAATTACCAATTTATGAATGAATGCACTCCACAAATATGCATATGGAAGGCTGATTTCAGGCGCATGCCCTTCCTTAATAGCATCCAAACCACCGACTAAACATGGTACAATGCACTCCATAAACAAAAGATGTGGAATGCTTTATTTGCGCGCCAAAAATCCAACACAACATTTGCTGTGAGATCCATTAGACATTTACTTCCTAGTGTCCTAACCGGTGACAACGTACACAAGCGATACCTTACACTTGGCGACATTTTCAGTTTAGTTTTCAGTTGCACAGCAGACATCCTCGTGTCAAATTGACAAACGAGAAATACGGTTAAACGCAAAATAAATAGAAATCGTTAAGACTTCCTCTAAAAAAGTGAAGTACGCTAATAGTAATTAGCGTTCGGTGCGAATATAATGTTTATATGTAAACGGCCTCTGTTGATTTTGTGGTGGTGAGTGTGTTTTTATCTGGCGATAAGCAGCGTCTACTGAACACGGATTTTCTATCAGTAGAGTTACGATACTAATGAGCTCTACATCCGTCGATAAACAACAGCATATCTTCGTTTGTCAGAATTTACGTGAGGTCTCATTTTAAATTACCGAAGATGTTGGATGTTGTTAAGACTACTCCATCATACTTATTAATAATATTTCGAAACTGTCTACTGTCGTTTCCAATCAATTTTCAGTGGACGCAGTGTAATGGAAATGTTCGCCGTCTTCAATCGGATTATCACGCCACGTCTACTTAGGGCTACAAGGGAGTTTCACAAGTTAAAGCGGTAATAGAACATTAACGAAGCACAAATATTGAAAGCGATGAACTGTAATGAGTGTGGAGCAGATTTTAGCCTTGTGAAAATATTTAAAAAAGTTTAAAACAATTTAAGAAATATATATATATATATATATAAAGAAATGGTAAATTGATTTTGGTAAGACAAAATAGCGATAAATTCCTTGGCGAGTATATTAAGACACATTATTCAAAGGTCAAATTTTTGAGTTATGGCGTGATACATTTTTTGCTGATTTATAATGTTTTTAATATGTGCCCAAGTTTCGAACTAATCCCTATAGAAAGGTCCCGTTTCTTTAAATAGGTAAACAGTACCCGACTTTTAATTTCTTATTAAAAAATAATTTTCGGTTTAAAAAATAAATAAAAACAAGTAAAAATATGTCAGCTGGTGTTTGCGACAGATATATACCCTCATCCTATGGTTTGCGGAGGTCTTCGGAATTACACACAGCTTATCAAGTGGTTTAAAATTTAAAGTTGATCAAATATGTTATTCAGTTTGTGTCAATATAATAAATTTTACAAGTTTATAAAATATTAACTTTTTCTGGGGGAGGACTAGGATTTGTAAAGATAATAGGATCGTTTGTAATTGGATTTATAAATATTGAAAATGTTGACCCTATGTGGGGTAGGTACCATAAGGAGTGGATCAATGTCTCCAATCTTCGGACTACATCTACGCTTGGTATAGTTAATAGGTTGTACAAAGTTTGGTTCAAATTGGGTAGTCCGTTCACACGACATTATAAAATTGACTTTTTGTATACTTTTTTTTATCGGGATTGTGGGGATGTACCTGAAGCATCTCATCATCTAAGCTTGGTAGATATAATAGGTTGTGTGAAGTTTGTTTAAAATTTGACACTTCGTTCGCCTAATATTGGATTTATAAATATTGACAATTTTAACCATTTGTGGGAGAGGTACCAGAAGGAGTGGACCAATATGTTCCATCTTCACACTTCACCTATGCTTGGTAAATATAATAGGTTGTGCAAGGTTTGGTTCGAATCGGGCATTCCATTGGCCTGAAATTGGACAGAAATTTATAAGTCGACTCAAAATTTTCAGAAACGGACTTGGTCCAAAGAAACTTGGGGTCTAAAACCAATATTTCGATGAAGCACCTTTTCAACGTATTAAAGTGTATATACCCTCATTATTTTATATTTAAATATAATACCACAATAATACATATTAGCGGCTGTATTATAAAGTTGAATTTTTATTTTAAAGAATTTTGTCGCTTTTCTCATTATTTATGGATTTATTCGATGTGCGCTATGGATTTTTATAAATAATACACGATAATATATGAGTTGTTTATTTTGAAAGTGGTTTAAGTCCATTTTAGGTTCTGAAACATATCATGGTTTCCTAGAAAAGTTTACAAAATATATTACGTTAAATATTCTAACATGTTTAAGGGCACAAGCCACAATCAAAATTAGTACCACTTAATAATATTTTTTAACAAACATTTAAATAACTCAATATAAGAAAAAATATCGACTTAAACCACTTTCCAAATAAAGGATTCATATGATTCTAAATTATCCGAGTATCAACTGAGTAAAGTTATCCGCACTGTCTCAATTAGTAAAATAAATTTAAAAGTGCAAAATACCGATTACTAGTGATTTAAATACACATGGATATATTGGGTTCCTCTTGTACTGCTTATTCGACTGCAACAAAATATTAAACCAAAATATTCGTATGTTACGTATGGACACTCTTAAATCAAACTACCACATATATAGTTGAAATAATAGATCGTAATAAATAATAGTAATTGTGAACAATATCCTGCTCCGATTTATCACTCAAATAATTTGAAACCCCATAAATATACATATATATCGGATTATATAACTGTCTTTAAAATTAAATTTATATTTAATCCATTTCCTATTGTATCTAATAATGACGATAAACACTTTATGCAAACATTCGTTACAAAATACCAATTTAATATCCATCCTCATCTATTGGAAGCCATCATTTTCAAATAAAAAATAGATTTTGTGTGTGTTTGAAATAACTTTTATAAAATTA